TCCCCCCCCCCCCCCCCCCCAAAGGACATTAGTGAACCAGACACGGTCTTTATTAGACCCTTAATTCCAGATTTTGTTTCAAAATCAAATTCCACCATCCAATGTTGGGATTTGAACCCAGATCCCAAGAACATTACTGGTTTCTGGATTAATAATATAGTGTTATCAATCAGCATTTGACACACTTCTAGGTGCAGATTACAAAATGAGCAGTTGGATTTACAGTCAGCCAGTAAGTCCTTCAAGGCAACTTTGGGAAAAGAACAAAAATATTTTATTTCTAACTTTTAACCTCTTGTTCAAACAAAAAAGGTCAAGAATAAGAGAGCACAATTCAGCTTTCCTGTTAGATCGCAACTGTGTGGTACTCCAAATGCATTTTATATTTTCTTCCATGCCTCTTAATATACCAATCTAACGAAAGTGTTTTGAATTCTGGGTTTTAAAAAAAAAGAGATTGACTAACCTAGTGTCCAAACCATTGTTGTTTTATTGTGTGCTTGCAATTTTTTTGGGGGGCAGGGTGTGGATTTCTGCCACCAGCAGCATGGTGGCTCAATGGTTAGCACTGCTGCCTCACAGCACCAGGGACCTGGGTTCGATTCCAGCCTCAGGTGACTGCGTGGAGTTTGCACATTCTTGCCATGTCTGCATGGGTTTCCTCTGGGTGATCCGGTTTCCTCCCACAGTCCAATGATGTGCAGGTTAAGTGGATTAGCCATGCTGAAATTGTCGGCAGTGTTCAGGGTACGCGAGGTGCGTTAGCCATGGTAAATATGGTGTTAAGGGATATGGTAGGGGGCTGGGGCTGGGTGTGATACCTTACAGATGGGCAGTGTGGACTAGATGGGCTGAATGGCCTCACTGTAGGAGATCGATGCTTCTACTCCTTATGTCGAACAATGCTTCCTGATTTCACCTGAATAGCCTAGCTCAAATTTGAAAATAATTCTCCATGACAAGGAATAATTTCTTTTTAATAATTTTTAAAACTCCATTTTGATAGTCAACTGTTGAACTCAATGAATAATATAGCTGGACGTCAAAATTTGACCTTTGAAGTCCCAGTATAATTCTAATTTAATAGAATCAAAGAATCCCTACAGAGTGGAAGCAGGCCATTCAGCCCATCGAGTCCATACTGACTCTCGAAGAGCATCCCACCCAGACCCACGCCCTACCCTGTGCCTGCATTTCCCACACCAGACATTATGGGTAATTTTCCATGGCCAATCCACCTAACCTGCACATCTTTGGACCGTGGGAGAAAAAACTGGAGCACTTGGAGGAAATCCATGGAGACATGGGGAGAATTTGCAAACTCCTCACAGACAGTCACCTGAGCTGGAATAGAATGGTATGTCACAGAAAGAGGCCATTCGATCTATGTTTATGCTTGTTCTTAGGAAGAGTTCTCTCACTGCCCAAATCTTTCTCCACAGCTTTCAAAATTAATTGACTGTTAACTGGGCTTACAAAACCTATTCTTGACCTCATGCCATAGTGTGTTATATAGCAATGGCCCCTGAATAGTGATCAGGAGCAGAAATCCTGGGCTGATATACAGTGTCGTTGAGATCCTTGGTGACACCCTGGACTGAGAATGATGTACTTGATACAAAACACGGGTCCATCCCAGAGACTCCTCGGTCTAGGCACACAACTTGCTTCCATCCTTGAGGACTGGGCACACTCTTTAGGAAACAATATGTGTATTTATTCACAGGATTAAACAATTCAAATTTCTTTTCTGGCACACAGGGCTAGACATTGGGTATTATAATGTTATATGTAAATGTAATAAAATGTATATCTGCGCTGTACACCTTCCAAAGTCAACATCTTTCCCGAAATACTGAAACTCCACTTTCTATACAATTAAAACAGAGGAAGTTGTTTCAAAATATCAACTTGGTCATTTAGTTTTTTGCTCATTGACATTTAAAGATATCCCTTGAGCCTCCATAACCGGTGTTTGTCACCATGAAGAAAATATTCTCATTGTTTATCCTAGACGAGATGACTTCACACTTCTGCCACAAAAAACTCCATCTATTGTAGTCTGACACAGTTAGTCATCTACTCAACCTTGTAATTTGCTGCTCATGTGCACTGCATCACCTCCAAACTTGGACACACAACTCTTTACTCTTTCATTCAACTCAATGTTATAAATTATGAAAAACTGTGCTCCAGTACAGGTGCCTCACTTGTCATATTCTGCTAAATTGAGGGTATTGTCTTTATGCTTACTCTCATACTCAACCAATTATTGGCACATCACAAAGTTCTCTCTCATTTCAGTGAATAATTTCTTCTGCAAATATCCTCTGGAAGTCCAGTTAGGCAATACCCATAGCCATTCTCTGAACTTGCCATAGTAATTATTGTCTCAAAATCCAACTGAAGGAGTCAGACAGGGCCTACCCTTACAAATCTAATTGACTGATTCTTGTCTCAATGCACAGTTACTCTGAGAACAGATTTTAGTAATTCTTCCACACGCCATGTTAAACAGTTAGGTTATCTGGTATCTCTCTGTCTCTCCTCCGCTCCCCCCACCCCATTGTAAAATAATGGAGGGCTACTTGAAGTTTTACAATCCAAAGTTTGAATGGCAGTGTTTTTACTCAGTAAGCAGAGGAACATGAGAAAGGTGCACTTAAGATGCATTTACAAAGGAAAATTATTGGAAGAACACTTAACATTTGAATCCAATAATATACATTAATTTGGAGTAGAGCCAGGAACAATTGCACGGTAATTAGTTTCTAATATCTTTCGACACCAAGCTTTTTGTTGAGATCATAATTTAGTTTACTATTACACAAGAATGACATAAAAGGTACTTCTGATTTTACTGCAATGCTGATTTCCATGCCTACCTTTGCCCGACCAGTACTCTGCAGAATGTGAACAAGTGCACAGGCCATCTCTTCTTTATTCTTCACGCTGATGACTGGCTCCAACACAGAGCACAACATGGTGTAGTTGTTGGTAACAAACTCTGCAAATTCCTTGTACTGTTCCATTGGAAGGATGGCAATTGTTTGATAGCGGCACTTGATGCGGATGTAAGGACCTCCACCTTTGCCTTTGTTGGGATTAGGTGTGCTGACAGGGTACCATTTCTCTATAAACTGTCGCCCAATGACACTGGTGATTGGAATATTAACCAGTCCCACATAATTATTCTTATCTTTCTTTTTCTTCTTATCCATGTCCTTGTAAATGTGTACTGTGATGTTCCTGACCATTGGCAGAGTGTAGAACTCAAAGTGCTCACCCCAGAACAGGTTATCTGCTTTCATTTTACTGGTAGTTCGTGCATATAGAGTGTCATCTAGACACAGTTCACAAAAGTACCTTTTCTTTGGGGCTAGGTCTTTTGCTTCAATTATCCAGAGACGGAGTACATTTTCTGCTCGACGACAATTGTCCTACAAAATGTAAAACAAGCATGCATCACTATTTCTTTTTTTTTTAAAAGACTTCTACTTCTTGTGTGCAAAAGACCCACCCAGATAACCAACTTGAAGGCCTTGCCATTTTTTAAATTGATTATGGTAGTAATAATAATGGGTGGAATCAAGAAGCAGTGTTTGGGGCACTGCCCTCCCATTTTTCCATGAGGAACAATTGGACTTTTGTTTAGTAGCATTCCTTTCCAATAGATCCAGAATCAGACAGTGACTCAAGGGACAACACAGAAGTGGGCAACCTGTCTACTATTCCACAGCAATTTATCAGAAAATGCTGTGATCACGTTGATCAATACATTACACAATTTTCTTGGGTTAATAATCAATCACAAGTAGTGGCTGCTGGAAGACATTAATTACCAGGAGCAAAACCATCCTCTCTTTATGTCTGCTTGCAACAGTCAGCAAAGATTTAACTGAAGAATCTGCCAGTCGGTTATTTGCTTCCCTAAAATATTAAAGTACCAATCTAGTTAGGTTTATGAACTAACAGCCACTCTCAGGAATGATCATTAAGCACTGAAAAGAAATGGAATTTCAATAATAATGTTCAGAAGGGGTGGAAATTTCAAATCATTTCCTGCTGATTCACCCGATTATCTAATTTTTCCCATAAATATTGATTATTTTAAATAATCCAATTCAGCCATCTGACATGACAAATGTTTAACAAATAAATAATAAATATTATAAATAATTTATAAACAGTGGAAACTGCCACAAGCTTTATTATGTGGTTGGGCATTATAGTCTTTCACAGGGTGAAAACGACATTGCCCTGTTACCAGAAGCCATGATCTAGTTGGCACTGAGTTAAAGTTGGATCCTTAACTAAGGAGGGCTAACTAGAAGGAGTGACGAACTGGGTTGTTCGCATACATTTCTCAGTGCCATCATAATGCAGGTTAACCAATAATCATTTGGTCACTGTAGATATATGGGCCAGGAAGGAAGTAGAGGAATTTGAACTTGGAAAAGTATTTCACCAGGACTTCACAGAACGCTGACTGGTGACAATAACAGCATGTGCAACACAGACAGAGCCATGACAACCTGTTATCAGCACCAGTTGAGTTGTTTTGGTTTCCAAGTCAGAAGACTGGGGTGAAGGCAATAATTCAACAGATCTTCAAGTAATCCATAAATCCAAAGACAGAATATCCAATCCAATAATCAGAAGACTGAAGAGCTGTGTAATATGACCACCATTAAAATTAACAAGTACTTGAAGATAACAGATAAAGCTGCAGATGTGAGTCCAGAAAAATTAAAGCTACAGGTGGAACACTGCAGTAAGTATTCAACAGTGACGGAAAACACAAAGAGTTTGAAAATTATAGTATTGTTTTTATACACAGACATGTAATACATTACCAGTAGGGATTGGACCAAGCTGAGCAAGCCCCATTGATAATACTGACAAAAATTCTGATTTGTTAAATGTTTGCAGCAGGTGCTGTCACAACCAGCTGGCAAATGGAGGGAGGAACTATTTATTGATAAGGTAAATTGAATAAAAAGTTAATTGCATTGGGCAGGTAACTTGTACCTGTTGCCACAAGAATAGCTTGTGGGCCCTGAGGAATCCAATTCAGTTTGCTCACATGGTCATACAAGACAGTATGAACAGGGTGGGGACAAATGCCATGTACACACAGCCAGGCACACTAATGTGCTGCAGCTGTAAAAGCCCTGTTGACACCAATGCAACATTTGCCTCATGCAATCCCACAACACCAAACAAGCTGTACATCATCATGATATTTATTTGAGGAACACACCAGCATTCTACTTGCCGGCAAGCAGCAATGGTAAAACCTGGAAAAAGAACAGAATGTGATGGTGAACTGTGCACAAAAATGAAAGCAAGGAATCAGCCACAGATACAAGCACTGCCAAAATCAGAGTACACCCACCGTTTCCAGGCCTTACAGTCCTTGGAGACAGAAGATAGTGTCCTAACAGCACTATGTAAGGCTGAGAGGTGTTTAATAGCATTACTGTTAGGAGCGGAAAGATGCAGATTAGATCAGCGAGACTGATGGGATTCTTCAGACCTTATGAGTATTTGCTTAATTAAACTCTGCATCTTCCAACATCATGACAAACATACACATTCCTTTATAACATGGTTAATTAAAGTTACAAAAATTGCAGTCCAGGAACACTTCAAAGCCCTTGCTTCTGTACAGAAGGTTCACCATGAGACCAGCATTTCCCTTATACTGGTAAGTCTTCCACAGTCTGTAAACTTGACAGACTAAATTTCAATATTTACTGCATCCCATCTGCTGTTTCGTACAGTCATGCGAGCTTCAACTATAGTGCCCCTTCTTACACAGTATTTTACTGCTTCATACTTGTAACGTTAACCTCATGGTAAGATGACAAACATCTGGTCACCTGTTTCCAGGTACCAGAATAAAACTGATCAATAAATTAATTTTATTTACAGTGGGTGAAGTGATAGAGCTGTGTTGACTCAGTACAAATACTAATCTGGGGTTGATATCAGTGGAGTACAATCAAACCAATCTGAAATGTTACATCGCCCTTTGCTTAGACTTTGAAGGATTGTGTTCTAAATGGGCCAAAACACTTGGCCTAATCATAAAGCATGATAGGGTATTTAGCATTTAAAGACAGGAAACAATGAGTTTGCATGCAGAGATATACAGAGAATTAGACTGAGGGCAAATAGAAGGGAGGGAGGTCGGGATAAAACAGTAAGAACAGTTAGTGCAAACTGCAGCTTGAATAATAGGTGTGGAATGACTCAGCAAACTTGAGGGCTGATGTTAATAAACACTGCACCTCCTTATTCCATATAATTTCACAACAAAAACATATTGTTGAGGTAGGATCAGTGACAGTTGCTGACCAATAATATTGTACAAATGTGCGTGTAAAAATGTAAAAAACATTATTAAGTGAACTCTGTTATAAACAAACAAACAAACAAACAAACAAACAAACAATCTCAACTCCTGATCTCCTCCTACAGACAAGTGTCTAGATTGCTTGTGTTACTCCCGCTAGCAAATAAAAATCAAATCAAGTTGATCGGACTCCTGGTTTTCAAACTCCAACAGCAAATCATTTTCAAACTTCATCTGTGAATTATAGAGAGAAGCCAGTTCACCACAGGTATCCTACTTTTTGAATCAGCTTCTGACGAAAATGAAATATCTTAAAAGTGTCAAAATCATTTATTGATAAAACCAGAAACACAGGACATCACGATGCTAACTTACTTTTGGTAATTTAACACTGTTCTCCACTGGCTTGGTTAAAATTTAAAATTTAATAAGCTAGATTTAATAATCTAATTACCAAAGATACTTTAATAATGAGAAGGATAATAAACCAGTTACCATGTTCCTGGTTAAATGCAGTTACCTTGTTTGGCTGCACTGCTCTCCGTAGATTCTCCATCCACTTATCTCTCTCTGCCACAGATGAGCAACTGAAACATTTACTACCTCCTGTGTATGTAACCTGCAACATAAAATCATCCAGGTTATGTTTGTGCATACCAAAAGTACAGAAATATTTCCATGTTTTGTGCAAGAATGAAGGACGCTTGAAATAAAACCAGTTCAGGTATTAGACATCAAACTTTTCAGCATTCCACTGGATAGAGAATCCCAGAAATCCAGACCAAAAACATTGGAGAGTCAGAGTCATTCAGCATGGAAACAGGCCCTTCAGCCCAACTCATCCATGCCAACAAAGGTTTCCTAAACTAAACCAGTCCTATTTGCCTGCATTTGGCCCATGTCCCCCTAAATCTTTCCAAACTTTTACATATACAGGAATGTTGGAGAATCATGTACTATGTATTAAGATAGTGCTTTTCTATATAGCATTATGCAAGCAACCAAATGAAGATTTGAATTATATTTGCACAGACTGTAACCTAGAGCCTGAAGAAAGGAATTAATCTGATTGCTCTGACTTTTACTGAAGTCAGTTTTGTCAATCAACTCAATGTAATCCAAGTTATTATTTGATAAAATCAGCATTTGTCTGTCTTCTTTCAACGAAAAGATGTAAAACATCAATGGAGTAGACGACAATACATACAAATACTTGCCAACTCCTCTGGAATTTATTTCCCAACAATCTAAAAAGAACTTGTGCGTTTTGGGCTCAGCAAGACTAACATGTGTAACTGCAAGCAACCTCAATACATCTTCCCATAAATATAAAATGTGTGCCTATTACAGTATACTACACTCTCTCTTCCTACCTAAACAACCTGCACATTAAAATATAAAATGGTACTTGTATATAATGCAATATGACTAAAAATATCTCAAAATTAAGGTAGAGTTATATACTTTGTACTACTGTAATCACAACCAAGACTGCTAAGGTTGAGAAGGTACTGAGTGTCAAGTTCCTCGGAGTGACGACAACCAACAACTTGTCTTGGACTTCCCACGTAGATGCAACAGTCAAGGCACAACAACACTTCTTCTTTGGGTGGCTCAGGAAATTTGGCATGTCCATAAGGTCCCTCACCAACTTCTACAGATGCACTATTGAAAGCATAGTGTCTGGCTGCATAATGGCCTGGTCTGGCAAGTGCTCTGCCCAGGACCATGAGAAACTACAGAAGGTGGTGTGCACAGCCCAGACAATCACGGAAGCCGACCTTCCATCCACAGACTCCATTTACACAGCGCTTTGCCACAGAAAGGCTACCAATATCAAAAGACCGATTGCACCCCAGTAATGATCTCCTCCAACATCTTCCATCAGACAGAAGATACAGAAAGCTTGAACACATGCATCAGCAGGTTCAGGAACAGCTTCTTCCTGGCTGTTATTAAACTGATGAATGGACTGTAGGCTCAAATAATGCTGATCTTGCTAACATTGATCTCACTCAGCGCACGCCCTTTGCGATGTAACCCGAATGCCTCTAAATTTATTTTACAGCCTTTGATCTATACATCCTTGTTTACCATGATCTGCTCATAAACAAAGCTTTTTACTTTACTCCGGTACATGTGACAATAAAATCAATCAATATGGCCAGCTCCATAGTAAGCTCCCAGGTTTATATCCATGTAAAAGAAAACAGCTTTTCCTTAATTCAATATTTTCTTCTTTTCTACATACTTGCAATTAATCCATCTCGTTTCTTTCCCTTTCTGCCTGAGAATCTCTTTCCACTTCCAATAGCATGACTCGCCTGTCTCAACTTTTTTTGTTTCTGTTAAACCTAAACTTTGACTTTAATTACTAACTTTACATTTATGGTTGGGACTGTGATATTGATCAATTTGGGTTAATCAAAGACCCAAGTCACTTTGCTGGAACAGTGAATTCAGCAATGCCAACAAACCTTTGGTTTCTTCTCTCATCAAGCAAATGATTGACATAGCAGTGATGCAGTCGCTCTCCAATCCTCACTAGATATGTGAATGCATCCTGTCTCTTACAACAACTCCAATCAGATATTTCTCCTGATCATCTTGGTAGTCTTTCACCTTCTAATTAGCACTAAACTCTCAAAATTTCATGGCTCATAATATCACTCAGCCTCACTTTGTCTTGAAAACAACAGATGCTAGAGATCACAGTGGGTCAGACAGCATCCATGGTGGGACAGCAAGGTAATGTTTCGAGTCTAGATGACTCTTCATTAGAACTGAAGTGTGGAGGGGGCAGCATTTATGCTATAGCTGGGGGCAGGTTGTCGCGGTGGTGGGGTATAGACTGCTGGTGGAGAAAAGATGACGATAGTTCAGACTAAGTGATTGGAATGTAAAAATGGCAGAACAATGGTGGTCTAACTGCCAGACTGGAAAGAGAAGATAGTCTCACTGGAGTGGGGGAAGGGGAGACAGGACATGGTGACAAAGAATGCAACAACTAAAAATAAAAAAAAGGGAAGAAATGGGAGTTTGTTCACAATTTGAAGGTGTTGAACTCAATATTGAGTCCGGAAGGCTGTAAAGTGCCTAGTCTGAAGATGAGATGTTGTTCCTCCAGTGTGTGCTATGATTCACTGGAGCACTGCAGCATGCCAAGGACAGACAAGCGGGCATACAAGCAAGACGCTGTGTTGAAATGGCCAGCTGTGGAGAGGTCGAGGTCATGCTTGCACACAGACTGGAAGTGTTCTGCAAAGCGGTCACCCAGTCTGCTTTTGGTTCCTCCAATGTAGTCTACCTCTGTCCCAAAATCCACAAACCAGACTGCCTGGTAGGCCAATCGTATCAGCCTGTTCCTGCCCCACTGAGCCCATTTCCTCCTACCTTGACTACATCCTCTCTCTACTTGTCCAGGCCCTGCCCACCTACATCCACAATTTCTCTGATGCCCTCCACCATACTGACAATTTTCAGTTCCCTGGCCCTAGCTGCCTCCTGTTCACCATGGACATCCAATCCCTCTATACCTCCATCCCACACCAGGACAGTCTGCGAGCCCTCGGCTGCTTCCTTGACCAGAGGCCTGAACACTTC